CTGGAATCGCTACTACGACATATCAGTTATTGCCAAATTTCTTCTTTTTTTTCATGTATGTATATATATATATATATATATCTTTTGTTCTATATATGTGTTTAAAGTTTAATTAAGATATCTTGCTGTAGTTTTTTAGTTTTTGTTGAAATTAAATTGAATGTTTTTATTCATAATAATTTTGTTGCTCATTTTTAAAAATATTTTTATTAATACTAATTAAGTTTCTGAAGGGCTATTGAAGGAGGAAGTGTTCTCATAATATTTACATAGATTTTTTGCTACTTTGTATAGTTTAACTTGAATAGTAATAAAAATTTGTTTATGAATGTTATTATTTCTTTTTTTACATATATATATGCATATACTTATTTTACATATAAAGGAAACGGAATTTTATAAAAAGGATTGACAAGAGTCGAGGCCGACCATGGGACATCCCACATCATCTCACCTATTCACTTATGTTGGTAATACGACACCAAAAATTGCATATTATTTTCATGCAAAGGAATACTCTTCATGAAAACCCACGTATTGGAGAAAGCTCAAAGGCTCACATGACGTAATTCTAATTTAGCAAACTTATTTTACTTCCGCCGTAAAAAACCAGAAATTAAAGTTTCTGTTCACATAAGCACTTGCTTTTCATGTTCACCCCCTTACTAGAATTCAGAATCATATATTGAATCGATCGTCAAAAAAGGTAGGTTTATCTTAGACCTTTCTGATTGTTCTGGGTGAAAATTTATAAATGGCAACAAAAAAGCCATTCTTGCGAGACACTATTAACTGAGTGCCAGTGCACAGCCATGCGAATCCAGTTTTTTCACCATTGTTTTGCACCCACCAACTTATACATTTACATATATGTTGGGCGAATGTGGCGGGTGTTTTCCATTTTTGTCCACCTAGTGTCGAACAGGGATGGGCAGCTTTTTTCACCAACGGGCCAATTTTTATTATTATATCAGGCCAGTAAACATATTATACCAACTTCAATATAAGGGTTTAAAATGCGAATATTTATCTTTCATATTTGTAAATAAATATGTCAACGTCCAACTGTCATTGAAACAAGCGGCATTCTGCATTAATTTGATGTCTGGGGAACGAAATCCATTTGCAGGATTGCCACGTGCGAGCAAGTTGAATTGTTTGAAATTTTAAACGTAGCGGACTTAACGACATCACTGCCTATATGCGGCCCGCGGGCTGAAAGTTGCCTATGCCTGCTATAAAACGGATATTATTAGTAACGAGGGAAAAAGTGTTTTCGTTGATTTTGAAAACAAAGCTGTTCCCATACACGAAGCGTTGTAGGCGTCTCCTTTGATCGATTTGGCCCATCTTCGATATACATCTGAAAAAGTTTAAAGACGATATAGTTTGAATCTTACTTGTAGATGTAAACAAGATCTGATAAAATAAATACACCGCAACTTGGTACTGGGTATGTGAAATATTGGCATCCCTCTCCGCTGCTAGAAGTATACCTGGCCACACTGCGCGGGTTGCAAATCATTTGTTGTATTTTTTACAATTATTTAGAGGATAGTAAGTAGCGTACGCCACGCTACAGGTATTCATATAATGAACTCTGAAAATGATGCAATATAAACGGAGTAGTCGAAGATCGTCTTTGGGCCAAAAGTGCCATGTCCGTGTATCAGCTTCCATTAAAACGTCTAAAAAATTGCGACCTGTAGGTTGAACAAAACAACTGAACAGCAGAAGCAGACAAGCTTAGAACTATTCAAAATCACTTACTGACAATATTACAAAAGGTAGATTATCTCGAGGCTTATTATAGCCTTGTACCGCAAGTATTGCCTGAGAAGTCGAAGGAAAAGAATTAATTTGGAAAAAACATATGATTGTCGTTAAATATTTAGCGCGCACTTATTTTTTATAGTTCAAATTGATAAAAGATTTTGCATACAGCAACTAATTGAAACAAATTATTTACTTTTGCAATTCTTTCCTTTTTTTTTCTTATTTTTACATAAAATTGTTATTACATTATAATTAATTATTGCAAAATTAACGTTTTTCTGTTGTAATATTGATTTCGAAGCTTTACTCTGAAATAATAAATTTAATTAAAATTCATTTATACAAATTTTCATAAAATAAATCATTTATTATCAATACACGTGAATGTTAATGAGCAACGGCCAACCAAATGTAATCGCATTATAGGATATTTTTTTTGCAAAATATTCTCGTTTCATGCCCTTAAGTTGGTTATAAAGTCATTATTATTATAGCTAGATTTTTCTATAGAAAATTGTGGTCCGTCATAGAAACTTCAGGATTGTAATTAAAATTTAGATAGGGAAATCAAAGCCAGCGAAAGTCATACGAAAAGATTGGTCGGAATGAGTCCATAAAAATGTTCTTAGAAAACTAAAGCTTCTATTGAAAGTTGTTGCTAATGGACAATGATTTAACTTATAAAATAGTTGTGCCCAATTAGAACCACATTAACGGTTTTTCCATATTTCAACAACACGAACGTGAATTATGCCACTGCAGTCCCGCTAAATACGCGCTATCATCTTTCTAAGTGCTTGCAATTCATTATAACATACATGATTTATTTTAATAAAGTTTACGTGTACGTGCAACTGATGAACGTTAACAACGGGCAAGCTTTGCCCCGCGTATATATGTTTGCACTGATGTTATGAGTTTCTATTTTTCTTATTTTCAAACGTTGTTCTTCGATTGAAAATTTTATAGGCGTAATGTAAAAACGATGAAATGTATCCACAACAAGGCGATTGAAACTTCCCGACAAAAAAAACCAGTTTGTTTTCCCCAACTTATTGTTCTCTAGAAATTGCAAGTTGCTAATCCGCCGCCAACTTCAACTCTTCTTTTCTTAGGAATTCCCAATTTATCCTAATAAAATAGGGCTACTCGGTCAACAGTTAACATGGGTACTAATGCGGTTTGATATGGACAAATGCATTGCTTGGAACACTTTATGTTATAATAAACAATTCATTTTTCAAGCCTAGGAAGAATTCTGCTATGAAATGGATCTCTACAAAATTTGGATAGCAATCAAGTGCAATTTGATCGACGAATATTTTTGGTTGTGTTTTAGTTAATTGATTTAGATTCCACATTCCTTGCCTATACGCCTCTCCACGTTCATGTCGGTGTCTTTGTACAGTTGCCCATGGGAACCAAAGCTTCTCCATAATTCTTATACACTTAATTTCGGACGAGCTTCGGTGTCGTTATCATGTTCACGAGGTCATCCATTTTAAAGCCTGTTAGGGAGATCGGGATCACCAGCAACATCCTTTCTGGTTGACCTTTAATACAAATTCTCTTTGTTTATGGCCTTGAAAAACCATTTAATGACGATTACGATTCTCGGAAGTTGCATAGGTCGACATTTTATTACAGGATTGTAAAACAAACTTATACTTTTTAGAATATTTTGAACACAAGAAGAGAAAAGAAAGCTTTGCCAATAAAATAATGCAAGGACTTGCACATCGTCACCATAATCGCAATTTTGGGATAATACATCTTCTGTAAAAAGCAATTACATTACCTTAACTTACTTTGAACAAGAAAGAGAACTATAACCAGTCGTGGCTGAGTCTTTTCTAGAAAAAGAAAAAATGGTTGAGGTTGGCCTATGTTTGTACAGGTACTGCATGGAAGATTTGTAAAAATTTTTATTGCTTTACCTCACTGAAATAAGCAGCCAAAAACCGAAGGAATTTGAGAAAAATTTCTTTGAAACTTAGTATTGAATATTTATTGTGCATGAAATTTTCGATTTTTTAGTGGTTGATATAAAAAAAAATTTGTTTGTAATATCTAGTCACATCTGAATTTCCCTAAGGAGAGTGCATTCTTTTTTTATTAATTTAAAATTTAAAATAGCTTCAGCCAGGTTTATCCGTCTTCACTATGCTGAGAAATTTAAGGGCGACAAAAATAAAGGTTGTGTCTCTAGTGATGGCATTATTATGAACATAAGCGTAATCGCTCCTAAAAAATACATCATAAACTCTAAAGAATAAGAAAAGTATGCAATTATTTCGATGAGTAATTCATAATTCGCAAGATAAATTCATTAGCATAAGCATTCAAGAGGCCGTTCAAAAATTTAGCGCAAAAGCAATCTGAAAGACCATTTAAGGGAATGATGTGTAAGGAAAAACCTTCTAGGTTTAAATTGTGTTTTAAATTGTCCAAGAAATATCGCATGCATCGACAGGTCAAACTTTCATTGCGTTTATCCATATTCAGACTAAGTTGTCCCAAACGTTTGAAAACAACTAAAGCTAACTCTTTTATTAGTCTTAAATTATTATTAAAAGTTTTTAAATTGAATATTTGCTTCACACGATTAGTATTCAAGACTCGCTTTATTGGAGTACGAGATTGTCTTGCTTGTCATACTCTTAGGTTGTTCAAGCTTATATTGTTGTCTAGCTTTTCTTTCTTTAAGTTTAATAAATCAATTCATTTTTTCTTCTCTCTTTTACGATAAGTCAGTTAACTTTAAGAGCGAATTTGTTAAGAGATTTAATGCACTTTTCTAAATCTAGTTTAATTAAGCTTTAACTAGAAGTGTCAAACTAACCGGCATGATGGAGGAGAACGTATAAAATGCATTAGTTTCATATAACCGTAGCCAGTAAGTGAAGATCATTTTAACAGATTGCATGATATAAGTAAAATATTTCCTTTGTTGTTTGTAAAATAAAATATATATATATATATCGCATGTAAGTTTTAAAACCAAAGTTAACAAAAAAAAAAAATAATAAAATAATTAATATGAAATGAAATGCCGTTGAACTCATTAGTGAATTTAACTTACTTTCAATCAATTTAAAATAATATTTTTTATTTTTTTTTTACGCACTTTTCTATTACATTTAATTGCACATGTTGCACCTGTTGTTCATCTTTGTATACATTTACCGCATATTGTCTGCATCTGTATGTGTACAATAAAACAGCAAGAATATCAAAAGCTAGTTGATTACAGCACCCAATATCCTGAGAACAATAATAAAAATACGATGTTGCCTGTAAGTAATGATGATGATGCTGAAGACTTAAATGCTGCATTTGTTGCAGACAATAGTATTGAGGATTTAACTGATAGCGATGCTAGCGACATCGGAAACGGAAACAAAGAATTTGAAAGCAATATTTCTAAAGAAAACTTCGACAAGGCTGAGGAGATAAATGAGATTAATGAGAACACGGAAGTAAGCGATAACTTAAATGAATCGTTCAGTAATGCCGATGACGACGATGATGATGAGCATAATTTAACCAAACGTAAGGATACAGAATTAGACAGTGCAGATGATGACGAAAAAGAAGAAGAAGGAGAAGAAAAAGACACAGACGATGTTGGTGAAGCTTATCAACCAATGAATAAAAAGCTTATAAAACATTTTCAACGTTATGGACAACGACGTGAGGATATGTCTTCTTCATCGGACGATGAAACGAGTGAACTCATTGAAATGCACCCAGACTTTAATGCCGAATGGGGAGATCTGAAAGCAGACACTGACAACGACGGTAATAACCTTAGTAATGATATCGATGTCCAATTTAAACCTTTTGACTTGTCACACGACATTGCGGTTAATGATATTGCCGCTGCTCAAGTTGATTTTCCTCTTAATCCCGATGCCGAATTTATAGATGTATTTGGAGTTCCCCACTCTATTAACAGTATGCCAAAATTTGAGAAGTTATCATTAAATCCTTATCCTTCTACGGCTTACGAGACACCATCGTCATCCTCATCCAACATACAGACGCAAGTTATGAAATAAGTTTGTAAGAAAAAAATGTCCTCTTGAGAGAGATTGCAATTAATGCATCATAAAGCAGCAAATTTTATCACGTGTTCTTATATAATTAGGTAAACTTCCTCTGAAATATATACAAAAGTTATGTAAACTTTACAAATCTATAAACGTCATTTATATATTTTGTTAATTGAATTGTTGTTGGTATGATTCACTATAACAACTTTTGCAAATATGAATGAAATTTAATTGCATTTTATGACTAAATTTAAACTAATGAAATCATATATTATTTTATTTATTTATTTATCTATTTATTTATATAATTTTAGTTTACCTATCAATTTTCATTAGTATTATGAATACTTAGTCTTTTAATTATTTTAATCAATAATAGACTGTCAGTAGATCTTAATTTGCATAAATGATGAAAGTAAAATTAAATAGTAAATAAAAGTAAAAATGAAATTTTTCTGAAAAATGTGTAGAAAAAAATTTGGAATACTTTTAAAGGGTTTGTAATTCAAAATTCAATTTTAAACTTCCAATTTTTTTTTTTACTTTTTTTAGGAAATGTGCCTTCGTACGCTTTGTATATATGGCTTCTTTCAAGGCTCATCTGACGATAAGCCTTGCTTGATAAATTTATCCAACATTTTATTAAACAAAATTAGACCCCGATTTTTGATCATTACCGGCATGCAGTTGCGTTAAGTGAAGGATTCAATGTCTTTAGAAAAATCAAAGCCAGCCCACATAGCTTATAACATATCTTTATTTATAGGACACAAAAAGAAGTAAGAACAGAAAAGGAAATGCATTAACTGGAATAATAAATTTTGTAATATAGGAGCCCTTTTCAAAGATTAGTCATCTCTTCAGCTTAATAGTTAACCCTGGTCGTAAGAATTTTTTTCAAATCAAGTCTAGTTTTCATTAACAATTTAGTCAGATTCATTTTTCTTTACCTCTTGGTTTCTCTTTTATCTTTTTTATAACTTTTTCATCAATCTCCTCTGCAACATCATATCCACCTCTGCTTCTCCATAACTAGATGATTGAATCGAACTATTGTTGTTCGCCGCTCATTCCTTACTCCAACGCCTCCGTAGCTTATCTCAAAAATGTAGATTTTTACTTAAAAAAATGAAATTAACAAAGGTTCAACTCACGAAATCATATTGACGGATACAAAAACTCTTACGTCATTTCAAAATGATCTTGAAATCATCATTTCAATGTCATCATTGTGTGAAATAAGTAAAAAAAAGAAAAAAAAAACTATGATGACTGTTCCTGTGAGCTAATTATAAATAAGCTAATAAGCGTAGTGCCCAACAATCTTGCGATCAATATGACTCAGTGGAAAATTTTATGAATCATTTATAACTATCGCATTCTTTGTTGTAATACATAAACCTTTTCTGATAGGCTTGGCAAAATTGTATTTTATTGCCTATGTTCACGCACGTAACATAGGTGCACATAAAAGTATAATAAGTTGGAGATAATTATAATCGCCTTCGTGTGACCACCTACATAACTGATCGCAGTCTATCAATATACAAGAAATGCAAGGTAATTTATTGCTTTGAAAGCGATTCGATCAGTATTTTTAGTTTTGGTTTCCACCGTCGTTTCCACTTCGACCGTCAATGCAACAAACTTATTGTCAGATTGCTACTAATTTGGTTTCTTGAAAAAGCACTTTTTGCTTTGGAATGCCCCTGTTACTTTCGTAGGACATATAAAAGAAATGCTGCTTACAGCCTGAATCGGTTGCGGTACAGTTTGTGCGTTTGTGTGTATACCACCTTGGCCGGCTTAGCGTGGATTCATCTTTCATTTCATTTGGTAAATGGAATTAAAACTATCCGTCCCTCAGTCTGTTGAAAACTTTTTGAATTGGTTCAATTTTACGATCTATTTTTTAGACCAAAGCCATCATATGGAAGCAAAGTATAATTATACCTTCCACCAACTGTACTACAAAAGTAATATTAAATTTATATGGAAGTATACAACGCTCAGAATGACTTGAAATGCACCCATTTTTTACTATAAACTTGTATGTCCCTCTGGTCATTCTGAGATATCTTAATGATACTTGGTATACTGTCGTTCTCTGGGCCATTGACAAATGCTATTACAAATAGCTCGGGCCGGATAACTTTTTTGGATCACTTGCCATACAACGCCATATTTTTGAGCATAAGAATGACTAAACTAAGCGAAATGGTGTTGGATGGGAGGTGAGCCGTGGTCCACTACAACATTTTTACTGATTTTTCACTTAAATAAATGCATATCTCATCTATAAAAAAACAAGGAGTCTCAAGAGGGATTTCTTTGTCTCTTAATTACGTTTACATTTACTTTATAACACTTAGCTTTATTTATTTTTTTTTAAAAATTACATATTTTGTTGTTATTTACTTTTCTTATCGCTTTTAGAGGGTGTGTCAAGTTTTTACCCCTTTTTAGATTTTTCATTCTTTCCTATACATCCTGTACGATAAAAAAAAAATGATATAAAATATTTGTTTAATTGTACAGTGAAGGGGAAGTCGAGTAAGAAGCTAAGCCGATTTGTCAGTAATTTTACGGTTGAAGTATTCTTCGTTTGTGCTCATATTTTATACATTCCTTGCTAATCCCCTAATTAAAATGTTGCCTTCTATGTCCTTTTCTGTCATACACGTATACATGAAAGTATTATGAGGTATGATTGCACTTACAGACAATTTTGAAATGCATAGATAAAAAAAAGAGTAAATTTATTTCATTATTATTTCGCTTGAAAATTCCTTTTAATTTTTACTACATTCTAAATGATTTATTGCAGTACAATTATATTGAAATGTTAAGTTAAATTTGAAGGTTAGAGTTCTTGATGTGAACGGCTGTGTTGATGCAAGTTTTTTAGAACAAAGAAATAGAAAGGGTCCATCTAATGTTATGTAATAAGCTAAAAGGTTGTTTTGATGCATTTTAATGATGTATTTAACTTGATAAAATGAGTCTGCATGAAAAGTATGCGATGTTCTAGGAAACGAAATTGTAAATATGACCAAATCAAGCACGCCTCCATGAAGCATTTCCTGCCAACGCAGTTGGCGACTAGCGAAAACATTAACAAGAATTCGCAGAACATTTCCCAGGTAGAGAGAATATTAGTATGCAAATCTCACAATGGAAACGTGCTTGTAAGAGAGTGTATAAGTGGAACAATTGCGGAAGATAAAGTGAATCGAATCAAGAGAGTTGAACCGTAATAGTCAACCGACCAAGACCAGAAGTTGTAAAATCCTGCATATGAGTTATAAAGTTAGGTCTCCTAAGAATTGTATACAAAATCCGCGTTAGCCTAAAACTCACAATGCGGTGGCATGAACTTAGTTAGTCTCGAAGAGAATTAAGGGAATCTTACGTTACAATATAAGGCAAGCTGGTAATTTAGTCATTCTTACTCTGAGGAGAATAATTCAAAAATTCAATTTAAGGAATTCTATGACGAATTAGTTATATGAATGATCTTGAAAAGTCGCAAAAATGTAAATAGAACATCAACCTTTGACAAATGCATGTTCGCTTTCATTCTTTAGACTCAAGAGGAATTGTTTCATACACAACGGTCAGTTTATTTTTCGAACTGTTAGAGTAGAAAAAATAAAGAGCAAACCTTAACGCGTAGTAAGGCAAGTATGGTTGAAGTCTACGTAACAAGAATAATTTTCATTTTTAATGAGGTACGCCGATGCTTCCTTTCTCAACAATCCTTGAAGCCATAAAAATTAAGAAAGCACACCAGACTCATACCTTCTTCGTTCGACTCCAAAGATTAAAAGAAACTTTTACAATTTACGTAACAATATATAACAACGCATCGGCGTGTTTTTTGTACCCATCGCCGAGGGATAGGGGTTATATTCATTTTGTCAAAATAGTTGCAACACTCACAAGGGGGCTTCAAACTCCGCAGTATATACATATGCATTTTTGATTATTAAGCATATCTGCCCTTTGTAATGTTGGTTGTGAATATAAAATAAATCTATCGCGTTCAGAAATATTGGAACCCAGCTAGAGTACCATGCAAATTGAGAAGATCTCTATTTTCTAATTTTTCTATCCTTTATTTGAAAAGTAGAAATGATTCTTGAATATACTGATATTAAAAAAAAAACAAAGTTTTGTTTACGTGTTTGCAAGTTTGAACTGATGAGTATCTAAAATTCGTTGCAAGATGGTTTTTTTTGTTTTTTCTCTTTGTTTATTTATGTTAAGTATTAAGTTAAGCAGCTTAAAAAGCATAAACGTAGACAGTATTTTAAAATGAAAGAATATATTTGTTTATTGTTTATGATCGAAACGTCGTTCTTGACAGGATTGGATTTACGGTTTGAAGGAGTTTTATATTGAGTTGAATGGTTAAGAAAACTTATAAAGAGAAATTTAATCGTATACATAAAGAAATTTTATATTATATTTTTATTAGAAGAATTTTCCATCCATCATGTTAAGTGCGTAAAATTAAAATGCAATTTAATTATAATGCGTGTCTGATCAGGCGAAAGCATGAATAATTCATTCTTCTTTTATCTCTTATTTTTTCTGTTATATGACATACTGTTAACCATAATTAATTATCCTACTATTTTAATATTTATATAAATGAAAGTATTTTTTTCCTGGAATAGTAAATAATTAATAAATAAAACACATAATCCGACTTAATTAAAAATTTACCAAATGGAATAGTCTGTGGAAAAAAAAATCTATAGCAAATAAAAAACAAAACAAAAAAAAAAAAATACGTACGAACACGCACACAAGTACTTTTTTAATTCAAGAAAATAAAATAGACAATTAAATGAAGTAATGGAAAAGAAATGTAAACGTTTGTTCATTTGTAACGGAAAGAAGGAATAAATTTTTATTCTTTTTTGAACCCCGAACCGACCTCCTCTAAGCTTGTGCCGTAATTTGTTCAACACCATCTCGGTAAGTGAATAAGCGCTGGCTTTTTAAGTGTTTCG